AAGACAAGACTATTATATATTAATAAAAAATTGTTAAAGCTATGCGATTTCAACCTTTTACGATAAATATTTAATCGTGTAAGGTGCACACCTCCTTTGAACACTATATATGTATGTACGCAAGTCTGGTATATTTGAAATTTTTCTCTCCCTCTTTTTTTATTTTTCGTATCAAACGCCAGAGCCAAAGCTATGCCATTATCCCGTCACGGAGCACGACAGGCTTCCCGGAACAGCTGATGGTAAAATATACGCGAGCGGGTGCGTGCTGATAACACTCGCAGGGGTGTGGACGGCTGTCCGATAAAAATCGGGAAAATTGCCTACAATTAAGCTCATCGCTCGCAGCAGTCATCGAGACGTCGGGTAATCTTTTTTTTTTTTTTTTTTTTTTTTTTTTTTTTTTTTTTTCATAAATCGCTAGATAAGATTATCGAGTTGTTGTTTTTCCCCCTTTCTCCGTTATAGGAAGGGAGCCCCACGTCTGATTTGCAAACGCGAAAGAGGAAAACGAATAATTTAATTCAACGCTATCGTCTCGGGGAGAAAGGCGACCCTAAATTTTTACGCGGCAGTAAATATACTTTCGATATTTCCGGCTCTGTATCCCTCGAAAAGCACAACAAAACAATGAGATTCCGGGATTCCCCTTGGCGGGAAATATTGCGCGTGGAATCTCGGGCGCGCGGGGCAATAAAATTTTGAATAAACATCGGCCGGTGTACCGTTAGCCCGGAGACATTCACGGATGGAAAATGGAAAACGGGGAGGAGAAAAAAAAAAAAAAATGAAGCTCCCGCATCGGTCCCCACATCACGATTCTCTCCTTCAAAGGCCAATAATCCCAAGCTGCTACCAGAAGTAAATTTCTGGAAAGACGCTCGTGGGAGCTGTTGCTCAACAACAACTGTACCTACACTCCGCGTACACGAATGGACCTCGGTATATCCACGATGTAATAACAACACACTCTCTTAGGAGCCCTGTAGGCGTTTTAACCGCGAGTAAACTCGCATCCGAGAGCTACCTTGCCCGCATCATCAAAGTAGGCACCTTAAGAGGGGGGGGGGTGGATATAGGCACACATTGCAGGTAATTCGAGTGCGCGCGATGGTCCACGCATAATAAGATAGTCTTGTCTTATATGTATACACATATGGAAGAGCTGGTGCAGCTAGCGAATTTACTAAACGATGCTCGCGCGTATATATATATATACATACGGGTGCACACACACACACGCGCGCGCGCAGGTGCGCCGGTGAAGACAATGCGGCTTTTTCGCGCGGTAATGCAGATAACCGTGTATGTGGTGTATTGGGTGTATATGTAATAAGTATCTATACGCGATGCCGCGAGTTGGCAGGAAAGAAAGGGGGGTGGGGGACAGGAACAATGCGCTTTATGACGCCAGCGGCTCTCAATAGTGAATAGTCTCGTTGACGATAATGATAATGGCGATGCCAATAAATTCACCCTTCCCCCCTAACCCCCTGTGTGTGTGTGTGCTCTACTCTGTTCTTTTCCCTGATGTAACGTAGACTCGCCTCCTTTTCCTCGGTTTTCCTCGGCAGCTCTCTCCTCCTTAAATTCCAGCTTCCCTTGTTTTTTCTTCTCCTACTTCTTTTTTTTTTTNGTACAGAAAACGATTTCCATTTATCTTAACTCTTCCTATGGCTATCAATGAATCTTAAGGCCAAAGCTTTGATGCCTTAGGGTTGTACTTAAGAAAACCATTATTTTCTAATGGGAAACTATATGTTGCACTGTCTAGATGTTGAAACCAAAAAAAAATTTTTATCCCAATTGAATCAGAAAACAAACTTGAATTAAAAAATATTTTTTTTTTTTTTGTTTTTTTTTTTTAAAAAAAAATAAAAAATTTTTTAAAATTTTTTTTTTTTTTTTTTTTTTTTTTTGCTAATCGAAAAACCGCTTAGCCGCGGCTTGCGAGAGCTAATCCCCCGGAGGCCGTTCCTATTTACATTTATGCGCGCTCCAAGTGCGTATATGGCTACGCGGAAAATATCACTGCCGCGCGCTTCGGCTTAGTTAGGCCGCTGTTGTTGCGCTTCCGCGGCACTACGCAAAAAAAAAAAAAAAAAAAATTCCCCGAGCTTTCTCGAGAAACTCTCGAGCAGGCAGGTAAGTATATAGTTACACAGCAGCGCAAGTTGATGTTTTTTTTTTCAAATTTTTTTTTTTGCTGTTTTTTTTTCATACATCCCAGGAATAGCTGTATTGTTATATTGTGTTTACGGTGGCCGCGGGTACACGAGCTACGTGCACGCACACATATTAGCCGTTCGTACAACGTATACATGTAGAAACGGTGCTTTGGCCAAGTGGCACGCGAGCTTTTCCTCCTTTTCAGTTTCCCTTTCCGCTACTTGGCCCCTTCTTCTATATATTATGTACCTTCTTCCGCAGCCTACCCCGCACGGGGCACGACGAGGGACTATATTATAATATATATACACTGCGCGGCAATTTGTTTGCTAGCTCTTTGAAAACTGTCCGCGCGAATATTGCGGTATTTATATCGAGAGCAACTGCAGCTCCCTTTGCTGTATACTCGGGCAGCTTCCTGTACTCCCCTCGTTTCTCTCTTTAGGACTATAGGTATATGCATATGTACACACACACACGAAACGAAATGGCTTTTTCCCTAAGCAGTTGGCTCTCCTCTCGCCTTTTCTTTGCTCTCCATCTCGCGGTGTACACACACACAGCGGCATTATTCCAAACGAATAAGTGGCCCCGACTGTACGCGTGGTACTTATATATATATAGGTAGGTATATGATATTCTATTTATTCCTCGGCACACGAGACCCCGAGCACGAAATATAACCACTTGAGACCCAGTGGAACGTGAAATGTGAATACCCCGAGTATAAGTATAATATCTAACCAAGCAGTTCAACCAAACGAAGCTATCCGCGGGGATACAATTTTTTGCTTTTCCCCTAATTATCGTAACGAGCTTAAAAATGTATAGGTAAACGCATATAATATGTACCTTACTCAAATGATGTGCACAGGGTACTCGGCTCGATTGACGCGATCTTCACGCGTCTATCCGAGAAGGTCCGCAATGACGGGCAGCGGCGCCTTTTGACTGTCACGCCTCGAGCCAGCAACGATTGTAACATCTCTCTCTCTCTCTCCCTTCTTCCCCTCTATACATACATGTACCACTGCAGTTAGACATTCAAAGCGTGATGTACTCATTTGTAATCGTAAATAACGCGGCGGAGGATAAACACCGAAAGTGCCCCGAGTGATGTGTATCGTATGTATACGACATAGCGAGTATATATATATACCGTAGACGAGAAAGCTCATGCTGACGCATCACGAAGTTGTAAAACAAAAGTAAAATACGAGGAGGCCGAAAAGTGTGGGTCCCTTTAAATTTATCAACGCGCAACAGGTACATATACAGGTATAAGGACTCAAGAGGAGCCGAGGAGGTGAATCAGAAATGTCTCGTTGATCTTCGATCGCGTATCACCGGGACATTTCTCTCGTACATTACTTGCAACAATATTTGTCGGAGAGAAAGAGATGTGTATCTCGTGGGCAAACAAACAATTTCATTTTTTTTTTTTTTTCTCGGCCCTCGTCCCCCCTTGGCTCCGAGACGTATACATCATCCCTCCGGCTGCGGATAAGGCAGAGGTACAACAGCACGAGTAAAGGGCATACGTATACGTACATTTTGTGAAAAAACACAGCCGGTGCAGCGGAGTAGGTGCTCCCGGCCTAAAACGACAAAACGAGATCGTAAAGTCCAAAAGTAACGCATGGCTGGATCCACACGGGGTTGAGAGAGAGAGAGAGAGAGAGAGAGAGAGAGAGAAAAACTCATCGTCGCACCCTGTCTCCTCTAACGAATCAACGAACCCACGTACGAAGAGTGGGCCTCGTTGTCTTGTCTCCCCCGCAGCACCATATATACAGCTCCCGTCGTCGACGCTCCCCCCCCCTCCTTCCGTCTCTCGTTTCCCCCCTTTTCCACCTACGCCAAACTACTTCACACACCTTACGTATACGCGTATATACTCACGTGAGCCCTCGTTGAAAAGTCTCAAGAGCAGCTCGCGCCTGACTATATACGTATACATATACCTCCTACGACAGCGCAGCGTATCATGACATGCGTGTACATATATATATATGGTTCGTATACGCTATACTGCTGCGACCCCCTCAACGTGCATGCATGCGTCTAGCATGTGCTTCGCGTTTAGCTGCTCCATAGGTATACATATATAGCGAGTGAGACCCGTGTATATACATGTACGTTGTGCATATGGGACGCCACGGGGTGAGCGAGAGGGAGATGATTGATAACACTCTACACGGTCCTTATCAGCGGCGCGACGTCGGCGCATATAGGTTTACATGCCCTAGCTGAGCCTTTACCTATGGGTGTACAATATTTTCATATACGACGGTATATAGCACGAGGGGGGTGTGGGTGTGATGTAGCTATATATATATGGGCAGGAGGTGGAGGAAGGACAGGCTCGGCTATAAAGGTTGACGTGGTCGCTGTACCTTTTGTGATGCGCGTCCCGAGAGAGGAGGCTCCCCCCCCCTCCCCACCCTGTTAATTCACGCGTTGGGACGATATATATACCTACGCTCCTCCCCCTCCCTTTTCTCTTTGCTCTTCTTCCCTTTTATCTCTCTTTCAACATCTCACTCGAGCAGAGACTCTTTTTTCCTTCCCTCTCTCTCTCCCCCTTGCTTGCGTCGGCACCCATAGTCGCCCCATCCCCCCCCCCTTTATGAGGCATTTATTCAAATATACCCCCGGCAGTTTCTCTCTTGTCTTGTCCCTCGCTCGCTGTCGTTGTCGAGACTGCGTGCCATAGGGCGGCCTATACTATTTTA